TAGAAAAAGGGCTGAATATACCTAAATCAGTTATCTATAACCTGGCACCTTTCAGATATATCGGGACTCCAACTCTCAGAATTCCCAGCTACTGTGCTGGATGGGAATTTTGGGAGTTACAGGTTTAAAACATTTGGAGAGTGCTAGGTCGGAGAAGGTGAACTTAATAAATGGACCCCAATCCTTCTTTTTAATCTGCACTGCTACAGCATCACAGAGAGCTTTGTAAGACCACAAGATAAGCCAGTGGTTGGCAACACATTGTTAGTGGGCTTCAGGGGAAATGCCACCTCCCTGATAGCGTCTGTGGGAGCCTTTTTTATTATTAAAAGGCTGTAATTTTGTAATCTCACAAGACTTTGATGTTCCTGTCTCAAATCTCATGAGATTTCAAATGATAACGGCAACATTTTGTGAGATCTAGTGATCTCCCTAGATGTTTTATCTTGGTGCTCATACCACAGTTCTGCAGCAATCTCACAGACTTTCAATAGGCCCCAGAATACAGGCTGGAAACAACTGGTCTAAACAAAGATAAACAAAGAAAAAAGAAATACAGCAAAACGAAGTTGGATACATTATTGCTTTTCATAGTGGGAGACAGAAATTTGGGCAACCACCATCCATATTACTAACTACTTTGAACTGACTTGAGATATATTATAAAAAAACTACCCATCAAGCTTTTATTTTTCCATTCTCAGGGAGAGAGCAGCACTGCAGTTCCAGATGAGTGCTCCCAAATAGATACAAATGCCTCCAAAGCAACACTAGGAATATTGCCAAGTACTGTTTGACAAAAGAAAAAAGCATAATTCCATTTAATGTCACTCTTCTGGGCAAACTTCAGAAATGAAAGAACTACACTGCTTTCTCCACAATGATTTTGAATTCCTTGGTCCCATCTCCCACCACAATTATATCTCCAAAGGTATCTTGCCCACCCAAAAAATGGCTTAGAATTCTGACAGACCATCTTAGTTCCTCCATAATCTTCTGGGAGGTCAATGTCACATTTCCTGAAAGCCACTGTAAACAGTCCTTTAGGAAAAGTTCACTGAGACACACATGTTTTAGCTCAGGAAGAAGGCAGTGTAACTACAGCCAGTTTGCGTAAAGGACAATCTTACATACGTATCTTGCCCATTTCCTTTGAGGGCTTCTGCCTGTTTTCAAAACAATGGGATTACTTGTATAGAAAGCTTCAGGGTAATTCTTTAATAGCCATGGATGAATGTCCACTAAAAAAACCCACTTCCAAAAAACAGAAAAAACAAAAAACACCCAGACTGGAATAATTTTCTTCCTTACCTTTCTTTTTTTAGAATTATTTGTATTTATTTACACACAAATTCCTTAAGCAACCAGAACTCACCGAATCTTGCAAAGACTGGGTACAATATGTAATCTGATTTGTAAGCAAAGCATTTTTATCTATCACCTTCCAAGATCAATAGGATAACATCATTAAGACCCACCATCATTCCAATCTTATTGTGGCCACCTCATTATTTAGAGATTTCACCAAGTACTGTCATTCTAGGCACAGCACATTGTCCAGGCTCAGAGGACATATATTTAAAAAATACAAAAGAGTTTTATGAGAATAAAAGTCTCTGCAGAAAAAAATTACAACAAATCCAACAGCTCTACACAGAAAATAAGCACAGACATAACAGTATTAACAAATCGGTATAAAACTCTAGGGAGGAATGTGTTAATCAGAGATTAATTTCAGAAGAAGCCCAAGTTAGATAGGCCAGCTCATCATTTTACCACAACAGATTTGATCTTACTTTCTCTTTTGCCAATGCTTTGCCCTCTCAATGGGAAATTAGAAAATGTAACTAGTTTTGGCATAAGAAACCAACTTCTATTTCCTTCTATCCATCTGTGTCTTCTACTTCCCTTTGCTGTTCTTTTTCCTGTTGTTTTAACCTCGCCATCACTCCATCTTAACTTTTGTAGACCGTTCTCTGTTTTTTGTGTTCCTCACCTCCAACTATCTCCAATTAAGTTGGTTTCTTGCCTTGTAGTATTTCCTTTTTCCTAAATTCTGGTCCATTGAGCTTAAAACTCAGCAGTCACTAGGTATAAGCACTGAACATGGGTCACAGAGATTGGCATTAATGTGTTTCGCCTAGTTACATCTTTCCCTTTAATTCCAGGCTGATCCACCCTGAACTCTCTCTTAACTACTGATTCTTGCTGGGGACAACTTTATCCTTGGCAAACAAGGTAATTAATAGAAGATTTTGTATGATACTCAAGCTTAAGGATACTGGAACCTGCTATGCTAAAAACAGTTTTGAAACACTGAGAAGTTTGAGATTTTACATCCCACAGCATTTATGTTTTTTCCTTTGCTTATTTTCTTTGGCAATGTTTATTACAGGATTAGAAGTAATTCAGAACGAACACTCAGTATTCAATACTTTAATATTTTTTTATGAAATATGAATTTCTGCCCCATGCAAGCTTTGTTTTATAGACTGTGGTTTCCAGTTTTAAAAATTATATCAGAGCAAGTGTCAACATAGCAAATGATAAGCTCATTAGAAGTACCTGCTAGGTATACTTCAGATGAACATATAGTTTAATAAAAATAGTAAGGGAAGGAGAGATGGAGAGCATGGAACTCTTTCCAACATCTTTACTAACAGCAGCCATGGGAGGTGTCTGTATTTTCTTCAGTGTAATGAAGTAATTTGCTGTTTCTTTGTATGTGTCTTTGAGGGCAGGTGTATATGTGTTGTTCCTGAGTTTTTGCTCTTTCCTTGGATTGGGTCTGAGCAAAGGACAGGCTGCAAATACTATACTGTGTCACCTTGAAAGCAGGGATAGAAATAAGGAGTCAGCAGGATTCCAAAATGCTGCACAACTGTATTGAGATTTTTTTCTTCACAGCCCCCTGGCAAGTCCAGCCATTTTCAAATAAAATCTTTCTTTTGTTGGCTTCCCCTTGCAATTTGGGTCGCACTCTGTTCTGTTTTCAGAGAGTTATCCTGCTGATGGACAGAGAGAGCCCTTAGCATAATTGATTTCCAACCCTGGGTTGGAAAGAATAAAAAGAGTAAGACATGTTTGTGGAAAGAGCTGCTATAAGGTATAACAAGGATTCTATGATGATACAGCTGCCGCTGGGCATCTGGAAGAAAGCAAAGCCCTTCCCTTCTCCTTCATAGCCCTGGTCCTGGGAGAAATTCAGCCTAGTGGGATGGCCAGGTGTGCAGTATTGTGAGTTAGACTCCGGTACTTCTGGAGATCTGAGCAGAACTGCAAAAACTATTAGCCCACCCACCTTTCTGCTTTGTTTTTAAAAGAGAAAAGCATGAGGACCCGAGACAGATATGTGGGTGCCTAATTGTTCTTATTCAAAAATAATGTTCAACCCATCACATAATGTAAAGCCAGTGCTTTACAAAAAACATGTTAAGAAATCTGATCCCAGCCCTAAGAACATTATAATTTACAACTCAAGACATGGTAAAGGACAGAGAAAAAGGAAGGGGACCCAAAAGAAACTTCAGCTTGGTTATTAGGACTAGTTATATTCAATAAATGTTAGTTTCAGAAGCAGAGACCATTACTGTTATGCCTGGAAACATTTTAATTCACACTTCATTTTTTAAAAGATAAGCGTTGCAGGACTGAAAAACAAGAATGCATGTAGCTGAGATTCAAATTATGCATTTACTACCCTCCTGAACAGCTATTGGAGCCCTATTCCAATATTTGTATTGAGAAGCTGACCGGGTAGTAGGTAGAGAGCAATTCATAAGCAACTGGGTGTTTTTTCCTTGCCAATTTCCCTTTCATGAGGAATAACTCATTTTAGATACAGCCTAGGCATCTTTCCACTTGGGATTCCAGTGCATTTTGGAAGCGACTGCCTGATTTTAAACTGCACTTGTCTCTGGTCTGTAATATGGGAGCAAATTCAAAGGTTAATGCAGCAATAGCTGACTTCTCCACAATTCAAGGAGAATGTTCTTACCACTGTGAGGTAAAATCAACAAATTCAGCTGAGAACTTGTCTGCAGGGAGCTGTGGTGACGGTTCTTCCACTACCTGTTTGAGCTGCTGGAACGGCGTCCCCCAGGAGTCATATGGAAACCGCAGGATTGCTAATTCAATCTAGGTACAAAAGGAAGACAGACAGACAGACATCAAGACAACTTCCGGTGATTCTTCCCTCCCCCCCTCTGATTGCTACCCCAAAGAAAAATACCGAAAATGCTACCAGAAAAACTCAGAAACTCAATCCAATGTTGTTGTATGCTGCCACCTGCAGGCCAGTAACCAAAAGTACAACCGATTTCATTTTTATGATCCTCTTCTGCAGGAGGCTGTGCTTCTCCCCCTCCCTCTTCCATTTTTCCTTGGAAACACTGGGCCGATTTGGTGCCTCTGAGGCACAGCCTGTGCAAGTCTCTGGAGACAGCATGTCTCTGGGAATATTTCAAAGCTGCAGCTTTGAAACATGTGAGGCTAGTTCTTCTGGTTTGTGCCACGTACCCACAGCTTCTCAGGAAGACGCAGGGTGCCAGGGGAGAGCGTACTTTTCTCCCCTTGCCTGGCCTACAAGGGCTGTTGCATCAAAAGGGGACTAATAATTCCCAAGAGAATTATTCTGACTTGCCAGCAGAAACCTTAACATTCATCCTGAATGCATATTTCCCTCCTGCAGGCATGATGCCAGCGGAACAAGCTTTGTGACAGATGGTTGCTATAGGGGATTTCTTTCTGTTTGCAGACACACAACACACGTACGTTGCTACCTAGTTTTTCAACGTTCGTCACAACCAGTGCAGGGCTATGGCTGAGGACAACAGCTGGACCTGCTGAGGTTTTTCCATTTCTGAAGAAGGTATAAAAAGCCTACTCCAAATTTAAATTGATAAACCCTTTGCCAACCAAATGAACCAACTTGTGACTAGTTTATAAATTAGGCTGCCACTGTTATGGCTAAAGTAGTCCTCTGTAAATTCTGACTCTGAAAGGGTTTGCTTTTTCCTGACTAGGCTTCACTGAAAATTATGCCACTGCTTACTCCTTCACCCCTATTTCATGACTGTGATGCAAAAGAAAACCTGACTTTTGCAGAGAAAATCAAATCCTTTTGCAAAAAGAGAGCAGGAGAGAGAAAGAGGAAAGACCTCTTGAAATCAATTAAAATGCACAAATCAGGCAGCAGTGTTTTAGGGTTCAACCTGCCCAAGACTTAAAAAAAAAAAAAAAACCCAAAGCAAAGCAAAATAAAAACAAGCCAAGCATCGCCTTTATATAGGCAGTTGAATTCAAACTGTTCTGGGAAGAAGGGAAATCTCAGAAGCTAACCAGGCACTCTTTAATCAGCAGATTAATAAAGCCAGCCAAATCTTCCTAAAAGGCTGCTTGCTTACCTCCACTGACCTTCTTTGGAAGTGTGTTAAAAACTGGGGATTGACGTGTGACCATAAAGGAATTTAGAGCTGACCTTGGGGAAAGCACGTTAAAGGAGAAATGAAGGAGTGAGCCATTAGGAAGGAGCTTGGACAAGAGATTATTCAGTCCAGGAATAGAAGGAAGTATGAGAAGGAAACTCAAAATAACCCCACCTTGATTTTGTTTGGTATAAAACGGGACCGAAAGAAACAGGTTTTCAAGAATCTATAGTACCATACAACAATAAAGTAGCATCCCCTATTGTGTCTGTTTCTTCTCAAAGAGCTGACATCAGTCTTGAAAACTTCGTCACGTTTCTCTCTGTCCCATCTTATTCTCAAAAAAAAAAATCAAGGCAGGGTTATTTTGAGTTTCTCACTCACCCTTTCCTCTTTCCCAGGACTGTGTAATCTCTTAAAAGCTCACTGTCCTTCCCCCCTTAAAGGCTCTCTGGTACCTTTCTCAAGGTCAGCTCTAAATTCCTTTACAGTGACTTGCCAGCAGAACACAACCAATTCACTCAAGAATCTTCAATGCAACTTCCCTCTTTGTGAACCCACACATTTTAAACTAGAAAGGCTATAGGCTTCATTATTTTAAATACAGTTAAACCCATTCCAGATTACCAAAAATTTTGAGTTGCAAAAGTCAGGTGGAACAGAATTAATAAATAGTAAAACTAATACCTGTATCATTCCTCAGTAACATATTCTTACCATTGTAATCCCCAGACTCCAAATATCAGATTTTACGCTGTATCCCTTTTGATTTAGTTCTGGGTTGATCCTTTCAGGCTTGAATGGGGAGTAGAAAAAAAGAGAAAAAATCAAATTGACATATAGTCAGCTTTAGGTTTTCACTTGGGGGATGGAAGAATGCTCTACCTCAGGTATGCATATGAGAAAACTAATATACACACGGCCCAAACTGTTATTAGATCAAGTTAAACTAGGCCTGGGTCTATACAATATGCTTAGAGTCAAAGGCAAGGTAACCAAGTTGTACTATAATCTAGTCAGCAACAGGACCGGGGAAGGTTAGTTTTACAACAGTCAGGTTAGTTATAAACAGCAGTTTGTATCCCTTTCTAATCAACAGAGTTGTAGCAATACCATAATCCAGTCAAAAATAGGGCACTTCTAAAGCCCTGCCTAATCAGTTTTCAAAAGGAAGTTGAAGATAAAGTGCAATTTTGCACTGCAGCCTAAGCTGCTTCTCTCCCATATTGTTCTGTCTGTTTCTTAAACCAACTACAGAAATTCCAGTCTGGACTGCAGTGAGTTGACATCATGGATGGGCTGGTGCTCAGCCTGGGCTGTGGCCACTACCAGAACTGATTGGTCATTCTTTGTTTCTTGCCCATCTCATCAATGCAAGAAAGGCATACCTGGCTGGCATCAGTGCCTGTCTTTTCCTTTTCGAGGCTGTTCCCTCCTCACTGGTCCCTGGGCCTTGCCTTTGCTCCCCCAGATGTCTGCACACATGGACACCTTCACCTCTTCCGTATTATCTTTGACATTAGCAAAGACATAATTTTTTTCTTTTTTCCCCTTATGGTACCATCATAGCTCTCATGCTACAATAATCAAAGCAATAGGGAGAAGGCTGTTCCTTCATTCCTATGTTCCTCTGGAGATCCACAGAAACCTTGCAGCAAGGAAGAATAGTTCAGCTTCACAGAAACAAAATAACAATGTACCTATGCAACTTAGAGCTGTTTTAAAAAATAAAGTGAAGGGAAGCTCTGCAGTGCTGTGAGCTGGGGTTGGGAAAGCAAGGGGAGCATGCTTCACCCAGCCTAGGCAGAAACTGAAAGGTTGCCCACTGGGAGATGTAAGGTTGAATGGAGCATGAGCTTCTGGGGTTCAGGATAACTCATTGAGTTACAGGCCACTGTTGAGTCAACTGCAAAATGGCTAAAGAAAAAACAAACCACCAGCACCTGCCAACCAACAAAGAAGACAGCAGTTCAGCAGCCCAGAACACAATGGCTGCCTAAGGCAACGATCAGATGCTAGAAGGTAGTGGGCATGCCAGCCACTGTAGCCATGGGGCTGCTTCTGAAATGGAACAAAGCATGGAGACCATCTTCTCTGTATGGCCTAAGTTAGCTGAAGTTAAAAAAAAAGAAAAGCCAGCAGTTTTGTATTGCAGTTGGAAGGTGCATTTGTAATTGGCTGGGAGTGGGAGGAAGGTGTCATCTGTTCCTGTACTTGGGAAGTGGTGATTGGCCCATGTTGGCAATGGGCCAATGAGAAAGTGCAGTCCAAAGAGTGGCAGAATAAGGTTCCCATGATAGAACTCATTGATGGAGTCCTGGCAACCACAGAACATGCCTCCTTAGCACTGATTGGTCTAAAGGACTCAAGCCGTGCCCACTGATGTCTGACTGGCCAATGTAATAAAGCCTTATCAGATAGTTCTTGATGGAAGGGCACATTAGATACCAGGCATTTCCTGGAAGAAGTGGGTAAGATTCTGCATTCCCTCAACTCATGGTTTTTGGCCAGTTAATGTGACAATGTGCTGCCAGAACGACTGGTACAAAACAATGGCTGGTGTAGTGGTTGGCTGGGTAAAGTGTTATGTAAAGGTCTATTCACAGGCCGATAAAGATTCAGGAGACTGTTTGGTAAAGACAAATAGAAGGTCTTCTGTCACCTGCAAAGATATCTGCCTCTTCAGCACTTTATGGGAAGGTCATTAACAAAAAGTGAAGTAAGTCTCCACTCTAAGAAAGTTCAGGAGATAAAGAAATTCTGTATGAGTAATCAGTTCTTGAAATTCTTGTACCCCAATTAGTTTCAGTTCAATAAATCTCATTAATCAGGCTCTGTGAGAACCTTGCTTTTGGTTTGAGGATAGTGCCAACCTTGACAAAACATGTAGCACAACTCCCATCATATATGTTCTCCAGTTTGAGAGTATTCCAAGAAAAGGCAACCAAAAATGCTGTTTCCTTCCTCAATGGAATAGCATGCAGGCCTTTCAAAGCCAATATTCACATCTTGCTGGTATGAAGAAGCAGCAGCTTGCAAAGACTCTTCAAAAGGGAAGAAATCACAGATGGCAGCCAAAACACCAGCCTTAATATTCCAAAGCCCTGGAGGCCTGGTAAATTTCTCAGCAGAGCATCCTCCCTGACAGGTTTATGCATTTTGCTCAATTGTTATGGAGAAGATCCTTGTAGATTTGCATGTAATTTTGGTATGTTTATTATAGTATTAAGATGGCATGACCATCCATGCATGACCTATAGAAGGAAGCTGAGACAGTAACAGACAAATTCATGTCTGCTCAGTTCACAATTGACTCAGTGTATGCAAGCTGAAAGAGTTCCATCAAAGGCACAGGAATCTATAGGCAAATGTAAGGTAGTACAGTACTGTGCAAAAGTTTTAGGCAGGTGTGAAAAAATGCTGTAAAGTAAGAATGC